CACACACACAAAATCGATGCATCTTTGTCATTGTTTGTTTAGTAGGGGGAAAAAAAAAGAAAAGAAATCGAAATCCTTGTTCACTGTACTCCAAGATTCAGCATAACCAGAAACTTGTCCTTTCCCCTGCCTTATATATATATATATATAACACATAATATATGCTTCAAATATATCATAAATCGTATACATATTATTTGTATCGATATTATTGCAAACTGAGCTTGTTTTCTGAGACCATTTGAACTTTCTCTGATATATTCTCACCCATCAAACATCAAAATGCGTCTTAACAAATTTGAGTCTCCTGTTATTTTGTACTTCTGGGATTCTCAACATTAATTTCTTTCTGGTATTTTTCGAATATCTGATTTCTATATATTGATCCAAACTCCAGTTTTCTTCTTGTTACTAAGAGTATGTAATATTTCCCTGTACTGTTATAAGATCCGGTACATTTTAGTCTTCAGAATTTAGGGTTATACATTTCTTGAACTGTATATATAATTCAAACCATATTATATCAAAATTAATCTGACAGTTTTCACAATTTATATATAGAACCCTAAATCATATTTCGTTTCCACTTTACTAGCCGTTTTCAAGAGTTCTGTTTCTGAGTTCTTGGTGATCTTCAACGACAGGCCATTTGATACAGAGACTTTATATACTTAGCTTTCTTTTTTTCATGAAATCAAATGTCAATCACTTCAAAAAAGAATGACTCGTAGACCATGCACGAAGGAAGATAAAGCTCTTAATATTATTAATATTAAATATTCCTCTGTGCTGTTGAATTTTGGTGCTTGTTGCTTTATTTGGCTCGGAAAGAACAAGAAAAAGAAGAGGAAAATATTAAGTAATCTTCTTCAGTGGATTTATATTTGATAAACACTAAATACTATAATTCCATCTCGTTCAAGTTTCTTAGATTGATCTGGTTTATCTGAGAGAGTATAGTTCATTCTTCACTTCTACAAGCTAGGGAAATCTACAGATCGATAAAAACATGGAACTAATAAAACAAGTTTCTTCTTTCTTATATTCGTTTTCTCTTCCCTTTTCGCTTTCAAATCTCTCATGTTTTCTCAGCAACCAAACGGGTCATCGCTATAGTTTTCCTGTTTGCAGACTGCAAATTTTAGGTTTCTGATCAAGTAACTTAAAAAGGGTATTCAAAAAAGTCTTTGTAATGGCCGGTTAATTATGATGAAAACAATTCGTCCATAATGGATTTAATTTCCATGCTTTTTGGTCAAATCATATATAGTACTGATGATGATCACCATTTAATTGAATACAGAAGATTGCAGCAGGGGTCTTCTAATATATATGTTTAATCTAATTAACGTACAAAGGATATCTAATTATATTTGTTTGTCAACCTTAAACTGCAGAAGTTATATATATATATATATATATATATATATATATTGACACACACACACCTTATTGTCAAAGTACTAGTTATAGTTCTCTTAGAAAAATGAATTTGTAGTTGTTTTCTTGACCTCATAAATTTAGGCCGTACACTAACAAAGGCATCCTTTTGTAAACCCGACAAGGCAACAGAGAGAGACTTAAAAACTACTTTCCTTAATTTCTTTTTTTTTTTTTTTTTAAAGGAAGGTGCTTTTTGTTTGGATAAGGTTCAATATTGATCATCGAAAATGTAAATTAAGCATGTATCTATACGAGTGGTGTTTTTTTAAACGTCAGCGTCAAAGAAATATTTAATTTTTTTACTGCAGTAAAATTAGTAAAAAAAAGAAGGGCTTGTTTGATACGTTTGATATGCCACGAAAGGTTCGCCTTGGATGCGTCTTATTATCTTATATCTCAATTACTTTTAAAAATTAATTATTCTTTATATATTTATTTATTATATATACCTCAACACTCAAGTATTCATGCCCAATACTAAAAGGATAATTCTATCAATTTGCCAACGTAATGAACTAATGATTATTCTCTTGCTTTTTAATTGTAAACATCGCTTCAAGCTAAGCATATATAAAAGGATCAACATTGCTCTTTAGATTTTGGATTTAATTTAATCAATCCCTTCATCGTAGTCAGTCAAAGCAGGCAAGTTTATTAGTGACCCTAAGATAATTTAGAATTACGCAGACGAAAATAACATACACATTTAAATAATTGAAAGTCATAAGACCTTCACTATCAAATAAATTAACCCTTCATTAATCATATTTGTACCGCGGTGTATATATTTAGTTATTTAAGAAAATTAACCAAGTATTTTTGTAGAAGAGTTCTAAAATACCCATTTTATGATAGTACACAATGTACTACCACATGACCGTGCACAGCGAGTTGAAATTTTTTCTTGACATGCGGCAACATTAATGCATTACCAACAATGCAAAGATTAATTTAGTGTGACAATTTCATTTTTGCCTGGCAACAATTTTATCCCATTACTGCGCGTCGCTACCTAAACAAACAAAAAAATCTCGTCAAATATGAAAATGAAAACCGGCACATAAAAATCAAGAGAAAAAATGGGCCATATAACACATATTATTGTATTGATGCGTTCGTTCTCCTAAACCCTAATTGTGCCTAGTTTTGTTTTGTTGCCCTAAAACCCCATTTCAATGACAGTTTCACCGTTTTGACAAGCCTTTTGAAAGAGAGGCCACAAAAAGACACGCATGACAAAACAAAGGTTCTTTTAAACAACGACACAAACTAATCTTTGCCATCAGATTCTATTAAGTTATATTTTTCATGTACTGATGAGAGACTCGCTTACCTCATCAATCACGGGACTCACAAGATCACAGCCGTCCATTTTCGTTATATGAAAGAAAAAAAAAAAAAAAAAAAAAAAAAAAAAAAAAAAAAATTAAACCGAGATATATCTGCAGATAACTAGTCATCCTAATTCTTTTGATGTGGGCCAAACGTATTCGCCACTTTCCCCAACAAAGCGTGGGCTTTGGCGCGTGGTTTTCACGCTCCTACTCCCAATCCTCCACTTACTCATGTTGCAAATAAAAAGTATATATATTTTTCGTATTCATTTTGAAAAAAGTTTTGTTTTTTTTTAATGAAAATGAAAATCCAAATTACTTACATGCCCTTTTGTCGGAGATTACCTTGTTATGACTGATGGATGCTAGCAATTAACAAAACCCAGGATAAACATGATAAGTACGGCTAATTATTGCATAATAGTGTTATACTAGCCTACCAGGTACATAGGTACATAGTAGTAAAGGAGTGCGAACAAAAAAAAAAAAAAAAAAAAAAAAGCCCCCTCTGACTTTATTTTTTCTTTTCCAAATAGACTTATAATATATGCCTCTTTTTTTTTTTTTTTTTTTTTTGGTATAACTTTAACACTAATACATTTGTCATATAAAATGACAGTTTAGCTGTGGGTTACACTGTAATTACAACTATTAGTTAATGTTATATGAGTGTAATTATTCTAAAAGTAAAATATAACTATTGAATTTCAACTCCTCCCTAACAATTTGATTAAAAAACAAAAAAGAAAATGTGTGTATAACTGCGACTGCACTGATTTGATACTATATTTAAAAGCAATCCTATATATCTTGAAATATATCTGGACAGATCAAGAGGATTATAAAAGCCTGTGTGGCTTTGAGTCCTGTGGAGATATATATGATTTTTCATACTCTAAATGTAAATATTCAAAACAACAGATGCTTCTTGTTGCGAAACTAAAAACAGTATGCGGTCAAAACGAAAAACAATTATAACCAGAAAACCTCAGTTAGATACGCGAAAATAGGTTCCCATAAGATTAAGAATAGACGGTATAATTCCTTGTAAGTGCCACATGAAGGAAATAAAATATCGTGGTTAGCAAAAACAAAATAAAAAAAATAAAAGAAATAAAAAATCCATAACAGAAAGAAATTAGCCATAAACCCATAAATCTGCTTTCACTGTACCCAACAGTAGGTTCGTCCGCGGGCTACAATTTCCCCTTCGCATCTTAAAAAAAAAAAATCAAAACAATAAAAAAAAATAATGGGGCCTTTTGGACAACTATCATGACGTGTAATAGCGGCAGGCTTTCTTTGCTTGAGAATTACCACTCCCGTGGGCGTGGCCCGTAAAAAAGCGAAAAACCCAAGGACAAAATTGTACAATCAAGAATAAAAAAACACAAAAAAGAAAAGGAAAAAATATTTGAAGGGCCGAAAAGCAACAGAAAAGTTAATAAAAACCCCCTCTCTCTCTCTCTCTCTCTGATATCGAGTTCTGTGAGATCTGCAAACCCCCCTCCTCTTCCCCACCCAACCCCCCTCCCTTCTCTCTCTCTCTACACAGAAAGAAAACGCGAGAAAATTAAGTGCCCACCGAGAAAATAATCACCAGACAAAATCCCCAAACTGCAAAAACCCTAGCTCAGAAAAATACTCGGCGCCGAGAGAGAACCAAAGAGAAAAAGTCCGACAGTAATAATCGATAGATATTTATCTCCTGGGTCGATCGATCTATACAAGGGAAAATACGAAAAACGCCATTTTTGTGGTTTCCGATTATCGAGCGATTCGACAAGAAGAAAAAGAAGAAGAAGAAGAAAAATGAGGATCAGGAAGAACGCGAAGGTTTCGCCAGTTCTTATGATGTATTCCTCCAGCTCGTCGCACGCTTCGGCTCCCGAGGGCGCTCTGCAGACTCACGTGTGCCAGCTCAACCAGTCTCCCTGGGATGTGATTCCTTTCTCCCAATACTCTCTCCTGGTAATTACTCCCTCCCTACTTTCTCAATCTTTTTTCTTTCATTTTTGCCCCCTTAGATCCCTCTTCTTCTCTCCGCCAACTAGGGTTTCGCGTATTACAATCTCCTCCCTTTATTTTCCCCTACATTATCGTCCTTAGGGTTGTTGTGTTACTCTCGAACCCTAAATCTTTCTCTAGGTTTAATGGCTTCTTCTTCTTCTTCTCGTAACTCTTCTTTTTTGTTTAATATTATCGTCTGGGTTTTTGGGTTTGTTTGTTTATTTATTGTTTTTGGTAGACTGAAGGCGACGATTTTAATAGCTGCTTCACGGGAAATGGGAGCTTGGGCGAATCCATTGGAGCTGTCGAGAGGTAAATAAATCGCTTCGCCTAATATTCAAAACATTATTTTCTTCGATTTCGAGCGTTAGGGTTTCGATTTTATCGTCGACAAATAGCTGCGGAATACTTCTCGTAGATCGATGTCTGGAAATTCTTCTGGGTCGAATGCAAAATGTGTTTGTGAAATATATTCTTGTCTACTATACCCATTGCGTGCTTGAAAAATGTTCGTGTAATCAATATACATATATGTCTGTGTGTGTGTGTGTATACACACCAATATAGCAGCGTGGCGTCGATGATGGATATTGGAGAAGACAACAATCCGGCGATGAATAATGGGGAGAACAACAATGTAATTATCGTGGACGAAAAGTGCGCCCGCAAGATTAATAACAATAAAAACGACAATAAGAAAAAGGCTGTGAAGGTCGCGAACGACAACGGAATGGGGAGGGGGAATCTAATAATGGGGCTGTGCCAGAAAAACGACGGCAAAGGATGGCAATGCAAGAGGGAAGCCAAGGAAAACTACAATTTCTGCGAGCACCATTTGTCCCTTTTTAGGTCTTACAATAACAGTAATAGTACTGCTAACAACAACAACAACACCGTTGATACTACTGCTTCTAAGCAGAAATCCGCCGCGGCGACTCTCCGCCGCACCCGTGGCGCCTCCGCCGCCGCCACCGCCAAAAGACCGAGTTCGTCAAATTCGAACCCTTACGAATTCTACTATTATTCTGGATTCGGGCCGCTGTGGGCAAGAAGGCGAGGCGAGAGAGGAGATCACGGCGGCGGCGGAGGCGGAGGAGGAGGAGATAGTGACAAAGCTGAGATCAAGGCGGCGGTGGAGAATAGTAATTCGTCTGAGCGAAGCACTCCTCCGTTGTCTTCGACGACGACGACGACGACATTGAAAATCGAGAATAATCGGGAATTTGATTACGTCGAGGACGAGGATGAAGACGAGGAGGACGACGTTGTAAGTGGGGATAGCGGAAAGAAGCGGATGCGGAAGCCGGTCAAGGCCCGGTCGCTGAAATCCCTAATGTAGATCGATTGCAGTCGAAATTTATTTTATTTTATTTTATCTTATTTTTTTGGCCCATTAGAAATGTTTAACATTCTTGTGGGTTCTCTTCTTTTGTGTTAGAAGTGAATGTATTGTTGAAATTATCGTTTTGGTTTGTTATTATTTTCGTGTTATTCTTTTTTCAGAATGGGGCGTTTAGGGTTAGGGAAATTTTTAAGAATGGATTTTTTGTTTTGGATATTTCGTTCGCGTTTTGTCGTTTGTCTCCGCGAACATTGATAGGGAGAGAAACTCTTGGGTGTGTCTACGTGGACCGAAAGAGGGAAAACAAGAAAAACTCCTGGTTTTTCCCGTTGAATGGAGAGGGGTAGGATTGTAATATCATGTGTGTCTCGATTTGGAGGTTAAAGTAAAGGGCGTAATGGTAAATTCAGTTACCTTCCAATTAAAGACTTTTTAGTTTATTATTATTTTATTTTATTGTTTGGAAATAATTTTTTAGGTTAGTGGATGCGGTGAGAAATGAAACTTTTAATTAATATAATTTAGGTTTAGAAAATTGATTAGATAAACCTTTTTCTTTTAGGGGTGGGGTTTTGAGAATTATCTACGATTATACATGGTCCGAAGTGTTTTGCTGGCCAACTGAGATTAATAGTATGCCACGTGGCTTCATAAGTAACTCGATGTATCGAATTTGTGTTTCCAATTTTCACAACATATGTTAGGGTAATACATAACGGGAATGACCCAAAAAAAGTTTGAAAAATGGTTGGGTCATCAATTGTGTTTAATACCATAACTAAAAAAATATGAGTCCCATCTTTAGGATTCATGTTGTGGGTTCATATTTTTATTAGTGTCAATGATAGAGCTAAAATTTCTTTTTTTAAGAAAGGCGCAGTTGAACCAAAACTTTGAATTATACTTATAGGGGAACTATATCTTTTTTAACTTCGTTTCTCTTGTTGCCTTCATTTATCCCGTTCCAAATGAATTAAGAACGAAGAATTTAATTTACTTTTCAAAATTTAAGATCTCAAAAATATAATTTGAGATAGTACTATAGTTTTTTTCTTTGGGTTTAATTGGGGTTGAAAATATTAACATTTGTATAAGTTAAAACTTAGGACATATATCTAAAATCTTTTTAAAAGTTCTACTTCAACATTAATTTAGAAGATTTCAATGAGGCAAATAGTAAGAAAAATAGTAAAAAAAAATTCTTTAGGGAGGGCAAAAAATAAAATGAGAGATTGGACTCATCCAGAGTTGACCTATGCCCCTGAGCCCAATGTAGTTTTGTTCCTGAGTACTGTGATATTAGACGTTATTAGTGACTCATAATATCGTCTCGAATGTTTTGACGGGGACAACTTATACTTTTACTTGGGCCCCACAGAAATGCTCATAAAACCTATTTAGAAATGGTACAAATCTATCGAATTTTTATAAAAAGACGTTGTTTACTGAATAAAGATAAAAGTTAAACCATGACTCGAATTGACAAATATTGATTGGACTAGCACATTATGTTAATAGTGCAGAATCTATATTGTCATAAATTATCATAATTTAACTAAACACTATCAAATTTTTTTTTTTGAAAAAAAAACTATCAATTTTTTTTAACTAAACAAATTCTAAGTCATAGCTTTACATTATTATCTACATAAAATTGCTTTATTTTCATTAATAGCAATTATAATGGTCAGAGTCTAGACAAGATAACTACATCTGGTCAGTTCGTAATTTTATTTTTCTTCAACAGAGAAAGGAGAATTGTTTACTAAGATATGAAACAATTTTTTTATAGTGCATTCTAAAATTGTAACCTACCGATGGTGCAACTGTTTTTATTGTTGGATTAATTTTTAAACGGTCAAATCTGCAGTATGAGTAATTCTGTGTGGCGCACCGTAAATTTTTAATACGGGCCTCCACAAATCTGACCAATAAATATTTAATCTAATGGTAAAAAATATTTGCTCCACTAATGGGTCACAAATGCAGGATGCACCGTAAAATTTCCCAACAAATACACTGTCGAAGATAATATTTAACTGTCAAATTAAACCTAAGTATAGTTTTCCATGGTGAAATCAAAATAAATCATATCATCTAACTATCTAACTATATGTAGAAGAGTCACTGACTCTTCGGCCCTGTTTGTTACCGTTTTCAATCCTATTTTTCACGTTTTTCGAAGTAAAAAATTGAAAACGCATTTGTAAAACGCGTTTGGCGCAGGTTTTTTTAAAAAACAAAAACAAAACCGTTTTTGTCTTTTTGTGCAATTCTGAAAACGTAAAAAAGCTATTTTCATTTTCTTGTTTTCGTTTTCATTTTCATGCTCTTCTCCGATCTTTCTCTCTCTCTCCTCTCCCCACGTTTCTCTCTCTTCCCCGAACTCAGGACGTCGTTCTCGGATGCCGTTTTCACAGAATCACGGCCGCGGAGCTGGCAGCGTGATTCCCTAGGCTCGCCAGAGCTTGGCCGTGAAGTTGGCAGCGGGATTTGCCTGGGCTCGTCAGAGCTGGGATGTGGAGGTGGCGGCAGAAGATCTGATTTGCAGAGATGGAGGGAGCAAGTTTTTGACAGTTTTTTTGTTATGAGATCTGATTTACAGGTTTAAGTCTCTTTCTTGCTCTTGTATGTTGGCAAATTATAGTCCGTCGTCTGTAGATGTTCAAAAGCTTCAACAAATCTTCTCTTTCTGAGTTCGATAATTACAAAACAGATGCAATCTTCTCTCTAACACATACCAATACTCTCTCTAACAGATGCAATCTCCTACGGTTCCAAAGAGTTGTCCATAGCTGCAGAATTTTGCAGCTCTTGCAATGCACACCACCTGTTCGAGAAAAGTCCTAAGAGAGACTTTTCGGAATCCCACCATCTTCTTTGACTGCCCACCCCCCCATATTATTATTTATTAAATATATTTTAATTTTAAATATTATTACATGTTTTCAAAAATTAAACCACCAAACGCAGTTTCAGTTTTTTTTAAAACTGAAATCAATCTCTGAATAAAACTACCAAACGCATTTTCAGAAATGATTCCAAAATAAAAATAAAAACGTTTTTGTTTCATTTTCATACAAAAAACAAAAACGTTTTGGAACCAATTCCAAACGCACCCTTCAGTTTTCTCTTCTTTTTACCTTCCTTGTTTCTTTTTTTTTTTTGTTTTTTGTTTTTGTTTTTTGTCCCTAGCTCCTATTCATTTTCTTAATTTGTCTCATTAAAACACTTTGTTTTTTCTACTTCGCTTTAATAAAACTATTTCTTTTTTGAAATGTGTTTCTACTTAGATATTATTCCGTACAATCCTTGTTCTATCAAAAGTGATCCTTAAAATTATTTTTTGTACCCACTAAAATAAAAATTTTCAAATATTTCTCTGTGTAAACAGTTTTTTGCATACCCGCTCAATTATTATTTTCTCATAAATACATTTCTTTTAATTTATTCATGATAAAGTAATATTTTTCAAATATGTTTCTATTTAAACTTTTTTTCTATACAAGATTCTCAACTATTATTTTTTCATATGTATTTCCTAATTAATTTTTTGTCTGATTTGCTTGCTAAACTCTGATCTTCTCCAACATGTTCTACTTATCTATACATTATTTTGATAAGTATGTGTCTGTTGATATGGAACCCCTGATTTATTTCCTTTTTTATTAAATAAGATGATTTTTTCCTTTTTATTTTGTAAATATTATGATTCACAATTTTGGCATATTAAAATTTAACAAATGTAGGAAAATCAACATGACGTTTTGCAAGATATATATTATCTGAATGAAATTACTGGAATAACCAATATGGTTAAATAAAAATCTAGGTTATGACTATTTCACTACCCTTTTTAATGTAAATTGTATTCCAAATAAAAAAATACACACTTTAATGCTGACTGAACAGACTTCCTAGTACAACAAAACTTAGGGTTCGTTTGGTAAGTAGGTTCAAATTAGGGTGGTTTAAACACTTTAGATTTGGACCATGTGGGTTTTGAACCGTGCGGTTTGAACTTGGGGCTTAAACCATGAATATTTTGGGTTTAAACCATGTGAGGTTTAAACTTGGGGTTCAAACTGGCAAAATCTGGGAGGGGGAGGGGGTTCTTTCTTTTTTGGGTTCAATTGGGTTAAAACATAACATTGGGGTTCAAACTATGAATCTTTTAAATTTAAATAACATGGGTTTTGACAATGATTTGAACCTAAACATTAGTTCAAACCCGCAGAATCCTCATACCAAACAAGTGCTTAGTCCTAACCATAGACTAATTCCACTAGTAACCTCTAATAAAACATGCAACGAGATCACAATGTTCACCGAATTCCAACAATGAAAAATTGAAAAAGAGAACCATCGATCGAGTACGTATGTGGCTCTTTCAATAATAGCTCTACAACCGATGGAAAACTCTGATCGATTGAGACTAAAAGATCAAAACTATAAACCAACAAACTAAACTGAAAGGTCGGAAAACCCACCTTCATTATTATAGAGATCAAGCCATAGCAGAACAATAGCAAACAAACAACAAAATGGCGAAAACAACAATACCTTTATTAACCATAACCAAACACTATGGAAATGACGAGTGGCCTCAGCCACATGTGAGGAAACACCGGCAAGAAGCCCACCATTACAGTACGGGAATCTGAGCAGACTAGAGTAAAAGAATCGCAATCACTCCCGACAAACCCACATGTAAAAATAAGTTGAATGAAGCCCCTTGGACCATAGATATGCTGGAACACTCCCCCTTCTTGCATTGGCAGAGGTTGCCATGCCTCCACCTCCAACACCAGTCGCCCCAAGATGCATGCTGCCCCTCCTCCGAACCACACCTACGAGGGGCTGAGAACCCAGAGCAATGGCACCACTAGACACTAACTCGCTAGGTCTATGCCTCCATCACTGACGGACGACGCTCATCAAGTGCCTGCCAGATTTGCACGACCACAACCACTGTTTCAAGGACCGAGAGTCCAACAACCAACAAGAAGAGAATGTAAGCACGAAACCCTAGCCGCCCAGAG